GCGACCTGCGCCGCCGACACACTCCTACTCACACTCGGTCCGAACGTCTTTTGTTCAAGTCACGTTTCTCACATTTAAAAAAAAAACATCATGGCGGATCATGGCCATCTTGTATAGACGCGATGACAGTCTAAGTTATGGCGCCATCAATTCTAATCCAGACAAATTACCATACTGAAGACTAGGCAGAATGGTCTTCGACCTTAGCCTGTTCCAAAACGGAACGAACGTACTAAAAAAAAATTATGGCGCCATTTCAAAAATACCGCTTCACTTGTAAACATAGTTTTTTTTTTATATTAGAATGACTAATATATATTTTGATAAATTGCATAGTAATAAATAAAAATATAAATAAATTTGTATTCAGTGTCATATAATACAAAGAATAAACGACGTTTGTAGCTTAGTTATCAGTAGATTTGAATCGGTGAGTAACCAATAGTTATAATTATTATAGTTAAGTATAATTAAAGTTTGCATGTATTATCTAATTGCTTAACATGTTCGTTTACACAGTAGCGAAACTATAATAATATATAATATTACAAATTTTGCTGAACTTGTATTATAAATTAAAATCTATTTGTATCCTAACATGGTTCTTATTATTTATCAATATGAATTGAAATTAAATGATAAATATTGACATATTACGAAGATAAATAGTACTTAATATATATTTAATATAATTAATTATATATGTAATAGGACTGAGGACCATTCCTTATGGCAGTCTATGAGGCAAGCCTATGTTTAGTACTAGACGAATAATGGCTGAAATGATGATGATGATGATTTGTAATATTTTACCGTTTCCCTTTAAAATGTCACTATCATATTATATTTAAATGTAATTGACATAATGTTATAAACACAAATAGAAATATTTTTTTAATATATAATATAATACGTAACATATATATTCTTTACAAGACAAAAGAACTGAGTAAGTCGTCTTAAAATAGATATGGGATCTATGACCGATGTTATTTCTAAAAAGGGCTGTAAACAAAACGAATACGTTCCTTTACGGGTAATCAACTGTCGATTTTAGGGTGTAATGTAATTATTTTTCAGTATAGCAGCTCATATTATGATTTACCATTTGTTGTTTCTGATTTGAACTGTCACAATGTACTCAGTTTGGAAGGTTCTATTGTTATAGATTTAGTCAATCAAATAAATGCAATTAATATTGATAAATATTTTGATTTGTTTCAAAGTTTAAGTAAATTATTAGGGAATTACTAGTATAGTATCATAGTTGACAAAAGCATACATCCCATTCTTTGTTCTACTAAAAAAAACCTTAAGGCCTTAAAGACAAATTATGACAGGAGTTGCATAGAATGGAAGGGTTTTTTTAATAGATGATAATGGAATAGTAACTCCGCCTGTGCTAACGATATACGCTGCCTAATGCCCACAAAAGAGACGTCAGTTAGTCCATTGTGATGAATACACCTTGAATTCAGCATGATGGTTTCCAGGGGGGACCACGTGGAGGTCGACCTGGCTGGGTATATTGTTAGCAATGGAGCCCTTAGTCTCCATTACTAACAATCCATTTCCCCCTAGAATGGAAGGGCTAGGTGTGATCGAAAAGGTGACACAGTACACTGATTAGAATAATGTAATCGTTCTTGTAGTAAAAAGGATGGCTACTGTTTGGACCCTCGACCTCTAAACTGCACAGTGCGGTGCGCGCAATACATTTTGCCGACGGACGCCAGAGTTGGCGGCACGACTGGCGTTTAGGTGTTCAACATTTTGGACGTACAGTGTGGTTTAAATGGTGGACTAATGACGGCAGCGCTGGAACGTTTGTCATGCCATTTGGACAATCAAATTTTGCTTTTTGATTTTGATTTCAATGATAATGATATCAAATTAATGCTGACATCTTAAGCTTTCGATTGCCATATCATTTTTATAATTGACATTTGTTTTTAGTAAAATCAATGTATAAATAATATATATAAAGTTTCGCCTAACAGTATATACACGAAGAGCTCAGTTCGGGTCATCATGTATTTTTACGTAAACAATATTTAGATTTCTTAAATATTGTTTATTGTTTCGATTAATATACCTAGTGTAAATATATGTCTAAAAAACTAAAATACCATAACCTAAGAAAAAAAAAAGACCAGGGAAGAAGTATTAGCACAAAATCGAGAAAATGAAAAAAAAATCATATAATAATTTCTAACAGTCAATGTATAAATATTATATAGTCAAGTATATACACATCAGTTATCATGCATTTTTATATATAATTTTTATTTTCCTATGCCACATATTACTTACCTGTCTAAACCTTTTCTAAAAAGCCAATAATTTAATTATTTACCAATATTTTGTCTGACCCATAAACATTATTTAAAAAATAAACATCCCGTATTATTTTTTCATAATAAGAACTAGGCTTATGTATCACTACTTTGATCTTTACGGAATCGGAAACAACATAGTACACTATTTGTTGCGATCTATCGAGATATTCCGGTAAAAACTAGCGCGCTGTACACGAGTATGCAGTGTACTGTACACAGTACATATGTTCGACACCGAGGTGATTAGGGCCGGTTCTCCTTATAACGCCGGTCTCGGTTCGTTCTCGGTATGATCAGTCGAAATAGTTGGAGATTGATAGGAACAGGACCGGATTGTAGTGTGAATACACATCTTCGTTTCTTACATAATAAAATTTTACCAGACCGAGAGCGGACCGAGACCGGGCGCTATGGTGTGACATTAAGGTACATCGCCACGAATGCATGATTAGTGACAAACTAATTTGTAGATACTGTACACAGTATTTAGATCGAAGAGTTGCGCGTTTACATTGGTATAGATGTTATTTTACAACGAGTATTTTTTAGCTCTGCAAAATACAGCAATTTCGATCCTTACAAAACTAAAATAAAACGAATAATCGTATCGATTGTAATAGATATATAATAGATAGTTTAATATTGGTGACATAATCGCGTAAATTTCTTGTATTATACGTAGATCTTCTATTAGATTCATGTAAAAAACATAAATATTGTTATATTTTGTTTATGAATGTGTACTTACTCAATTCTGTTGTGCGAGAGGTCGAGCTTGGTGAGGTACTCCCACACGATGCCGCTCTGCAGCTGGCACAGCTCGGCCTGGTTGGTGGGTCTGTTCAGCGGGAAGTAGATGAAGTGGCTCACGTCTGAAACGGTCAACGTGTCTTTACTGATAGTCAATATCTATATACCTACCATATCGTACCAGCCGTTAACTGTCCACTGCTGAAAATTTCAGGTCGACCTCCACGCGGTTCCCCCTGGAAACCATCGTGATTAAATTTAGTGTATTTCATCACGATGGGCTAACTGGCCTGCTTTCATTGTCACCTATCATCCTTCACTGGTGCGCCGCCAGCGTATCCCGTTAGCGCAGGCGGGGTTACCATTCCATTTTCATCCATCAAAAAAAAAAAACTGCTGAACATAGGCCTCCCCCTATTGGGGGGGTTTGGCAGTAGCTGCCACGCTTAGCAGGTGGGCTGGTAACCGCAGTGAGGCCTTGGTAATGGCAGGGTGGCCAATTCTATGCCGGGACGATACGGCATAAAATATGGGTACAAAGTATTTTTTTAAATAGGATAACATTAGCCTATTATTATGTATGCTGGCTGCGTGGTTTGGTACAGTATTTTATGCTGAAATTTCTTTCTCTTGTACTCTCTCTCTCTCTCTAAGTGTGTGTGTGAGTGTGTGTGAGTGTGTGTGTGTGTGTGTGTGTGTGTGTGTGTGTGTGTGTGTGTGTGTGTGTGTGTGTGTGTGTGTGTGTGTGTGTGTGTGTGTGTGTGTGTGTGTGTGTGTGTGTGTGTGTGTGTGTGTGTGTGTGTGTGTGTGTGTGTGTGTGTGTGTGTGTGTGTGTGTGTGTGTGTGTGTGTGTGTGTGTGTGTGTGTGTGTGTGTGTGTGTGTGTGTGTGTGAGTGTGTGTGTGAGTGTGTGTGTGTGTGTGTGTGTGTGTGTGTGTGTGTGTGTGTGTGTGTGTGTGTGTGTGTGTGAGTGTGTGTGTGTGTGTGTGTGTGTGCGTGTGTGTGTGTGTGTGTGTGTGTGTGTGTGCGCGCGCGCGCGTGTGTGTGTGTGTGTGTGTGTGTGTATGTGTGTGTGTGTGTGTGTGTGTGTGTGTGTGTGTGTGTGTGTGTGTGTGTGTGTGTGTGTGTGTGTGTGTGTGTGTGTGTGTGTGTGTGTGTGTGTGTGTGTGTGTGTGTGCTGTGTGTGTGTGTGTGTGCGTGCGAGTGTGTATGTGCGCGTGTGTACATGCGTGCGTGCGAGTATGGGTTTGTGCGTGCGAGAGTGTGTGTATTTGTGTTTGTGCGATGAAGGCAAGTGAGCCGTACCGTGCTGCAGCGTGAACTCCCGCAGCGAGAGGCCGCCGCGCCCGTCGTATTCGGCGGCGAGCCTCTTCTTGAGCACGATCCGCGGGATAAAGTCCAGATGGTTGAGCGTGAGCGTAGTGGCCTGGATGTGCAGGATGAGCCGCTGCCCGTCCACGTGAATCACGAAGCCCATCTTGTGTATGGTCAGCAGCGCCTCGCGGCTCCGGATTACTAAGAACTTGCACTCCTGCGGTGTGAACTGGGAATCGACCGATTTAACATTTAACACAACCCGATACGGGGAGGATCGGGAGAGTCGTGGCTATCCCGGAATTATCAGGTGCTCCCAGGACGTGAGCGGAGCTTCCATTTATGCGCAAACTTATACAAAGAGAGTACATACGCCAATTTTTAAAGTGGTCAGGGATTGTTCAGTTCTTAAACTGGTATACTGTGTGAAAAATTACTTTTTTAATTAAGGTAGATATTTGTCCGTGTTGACAATGGAGCGATGAACCAAGAATTAAGAGAAATCAAATCATCTTTCCTCTTAGTTTAGATTCAACAGAATTCCAAAATATATTATAAATAGTTTCGTTTTATCTATACAACGTCATCTAGCGCTACGAAATGTACCTAAATTTTATTAATTAATGACGCTGGTTCCAAGTAACTTGAAAAAAAGAAGAAGTTCTCAATTCGGTTTAAATTTCAACCTCTTTTATAAATAGATTTTTTTTATGGGTGAAAATGGTATGGTAACCCCGCCTGCGCTAACGGGATACGCTGGCGGAGCACCATTGAAGGGTGATAGATGAGAATGAATTTATAAATAGATTTGGAAATATCTTTTTTACCAGAAATGATCTTTCAGATTGGTCCCATAGAAATTTTATCAAAATCGGTTTAATAATTTAGTTCTTAAAGCAAAATAACTAGTTTTAATTCGGATAGTCTTTAAATGCCACAGTTAAAAGGCATCACGTTGTTGGTATACGTTTTATGGCTACTTGTTTACGAATGTCTAATCAGATAACAATTAGTCATATATTCGACTCGAGTGAACATTTACAGATGGCTTTTTAATTCTCACCTCTATAAAACAAGGTATGAAGCTTTTTCCTTCCAGATTGTGTAAAAGTGCATCCAGTACTTTCTCCTTTTTCCACGTGGGAGGGTATCCTTTTATCTAAAATATAATAAAAACAGATTGTTATAATTGCACGGAAATATAAAAAAAAATGTGAAAGTGTAATATTACTCTGTGACGTTGATTTTTCAATTTTAATTTTCTTTGGTAGTTAGTGTTTACTTTAAGAGGACGGACATAGAGTAAGATGGAAATGTCTCTGTATGGGTTCAAGCATTAGTACATTAACAAGTTGTCACATCTCATACTATATGTTTCAATTATATAGATAGAGTCTTTTAAAGTGTGTGTGTGTCCCTGGTGTTGCGGGCGACCATAGGCTACGGTAACCTCGTTTAGCATCAGACTGGCCGTATACTTGTTCGCCATCATAGTAGTACAAAAAAATACATGGTTCCCAAAAATAGGTTAACTTTTTTTATAAAAGTGTGTGTGAATTGGGTCACTATAATGTAAATTTATTACTCGGTATATGGGAGAAATAATATTGTAATGTAAGTCATAGACTTATGTTTTAAAGTACCCCGACCTTTTGCAACCACATGCGGCATTATTTCCATCCCCCTTGCTAATACTTACACTGACTTGAATAAACTGGTTGTCTTTCTCGTAGTGCGATTCCATTTGTTCTTGCTCCAGAATCATAACCGACTGCAACATTAGAACAATTTAACAACACTATCTATCTATTATCATCTTTGTTTCGGTAGTTAGATAAATAATTCAAATACACTACAGACATACACTGTAGTCTTACTTTATTACTTTACTGTACTGTACTGTACTGTACAGTAACACCTACGTGCAAACCTCGTCCAAGGCAGGACCCGAATTAGGCGATTATCAAATAACGATGATTTGTCGACACTACACTTGATTAATTTCTCACAAAAATTTTGTGTATTATTTGACCTCTGGCCTGAATTAAAAATAGTTTATTCTTAATTTGGGTATTACATTAGCTAAATCTAATGATTCTGTTCGCGAGAATTGGGTATACTGTGTTTAACACAGTGTTGGGATCTGTAGGGATTTTTTGTACCTCTGATTGTTACTCTTACCTGTGTTAGGGACATGCGCAGAGAAACATTCAGCCTATAATATAATACGAAAGTCTGGCCGGCGCAGGCTCTCGGTTTGGCGTCCCTAATATTTGTTTTAGTTTTAGTGGCAATATTAGGTGGCAACATTACGTCCGGGTCGAGTTGCAGTTTTTTCTATTATACTATGCTATGTTACAATTCTGCCTTGATTGTTTATATGGCTATTGTTTGGTTTGAAGGATGGCGTATGGCAGTGCCACTGAGCACGGAGGCGTAACTCCATAACCAACGCATGAAGGATACCATATGTGTTCCAGTGTATTTCTAGTGATTACCACTCTACACCAGGTGGACTGTCAATTCGTTTGTTATTCTCAGTTATATATAAAAAACACATCACCTTGGATTGCCTGGCTGTGACAGATTTCTGCACCGGCACGGTCTTCTTCCAAGGCCAGTTGATTAGGTTCTTCATGACAGTCTCATCGGTGCTGGTGATCACGTCTTGCCTCAGGTGCACTGGTACGTACTCCGGTTCCCGGTTTTCGTTAGTCAAATCCAAAACTTCTCTGTAACAAGTGGGTTATTATACTTTTACTTACACTTTAAATGCATATGTTAATGTGGATTGCACAGGCAGCCTACACGTAAGTCTACGTTAAATTTTTTAGTACTACATTTACCTCACCACGAGTCTCGTCGTTCTCGAAAGTGAACGTTTCATGCACGTTGAACCCGTCGCTTCCGATTAAATTGATGAGCAAACTAGCTTGCACGCCTGACTCCTCCTTATGCACCTCGGATACATTTAGAAAATATTAATGCGTATTCCACCGTGCTGATGGGGCTGCCATGCAAACTCAAGTCTGATTGAGGTCTCGCATGCTCCATACTCTACGTCTACCTAATTCACTCGTACACATGGCACAAAATTTTAATGCAGAATAATTTATTAAATTAAAACACCGCTGCCACCGTGTTGTGTTAACATCCAGTTGAGATGACAACTGAATTATTATTCAACTACCCACAACAGGTAATATTTATCTGTAATCGCGTCGCGCGAGCTTTAGGCTCGAGTGTAAATTTAAATATATGTAAACAATGCAAAAATTAAAATTAAGAAATCACCTGACAGACTCCTTCTTGTTGCAGAGCAGGTTGATGGTCAACTTAGGTTTCTTGGGCTGCGTGAGGGGACCCAACCGCTGGAACGCGCTCAGCCGCTTGTGACTTCCACCCGCCTCCTGGAACTCCACATCTTCGTTGCTGTCTGCAATGTAAATACCAACATTTTTAATACAACCTATTTTTCTGCTCGCCTCATGGTTGACTGGTTGGACAGAGAACGCCATTAGGTGTTAAGTCCGCCATATGTACACTTGCTGTCATTCAATATATAAAGTATCCTATATTTTAAGTTAGGACATCACTTTTAAATCTGTTCAGCGTTTTTGCGTGAAAAAATAATAAACACCCATCCATCACCACTAATCTACGCATTTATAATAGTAGTTTTGGGTAGAAGGATTGTTAGTAATGCGGACCATCAGTTCCATTGCTAGCAATATACCCTGTCAGGTCGATCTCCACGTGGCCCCCTCTGGAAACCATCGTGCTGAATTCCATGTGTATTCATCACGATGGGCTAACTGGTATGCCTTTTCATTCTCAACTATCATCCCTCACTGGCGTTTCGTCAGCGTATACCGTTAGCGCAGGCGCGGCTACCATTCCATTATCATTCATAAACAAATAGTAGCGGTAGGGGATGTTATGGATGGTTGAAAATTCTCGCTTGGAACATTGAATATGGCAATCCTAAAACTAGAATAATAATGAAGATAAAAGTTTTATGTCGCTCCTCACAGCGAAACATGTCAGTGATTTCTTGATATCTTTTTAGTACATCACATGAGCATATTTTTTAATCATAAAATAAAGGGCCATTATTCACTGGCCTAATTTCAACAATAATAAATACCTTAAACATTTATATTATTCTCTAGCTTACCTTGGCTGGCATCGTTTTCGTTATTAATGTTGTCAGAAATATCATTCATATAGATATCAGAAGGCGAGTAGGGCTGCGGGATAACGGGCGAGCACTGCGACGTCTCTACATACAGCTGCGCCTGCTGTTCTGGAACTTCCTCGTTATAGCTAGGCGCTGTTGGCGTGTTGGGTTGTCCTGACCAATTCATCGTCGGTGGAATCCTTTGTATAGTTTGAATATTATGCTCTGTAAAAATATACAAAAGATTAAAAAAATAATCCGATTTTTTTACAGTGATCAAGATCTTTTTGTCTACTGTAATAAACAGTAGACAAAAAGAATGCTCATAAAACTTGAGTCTTTCTACGTTCATAAGTTATAAATAAACAGAGAAACTAAGGTGAAACAAATCTCCAACATGACGGCACGGGCGTACGAGAGGACGACATCAATCTACTATCATATTGATCACGCGGCTTGAAACCGGGTTTTATTTAGTGTTTTTCTTCTTTTGAACCGGTGTATTGTGCTCTGTCTCCTGAGTCATCTCTTACAATTTTAGCATCGAAAAGGAATGATGACAAATATATAAAAATAGAAACCAAAAGAAATGCTTACGTATCATTCTCCCAGGGTCTTGATTTTGTTGCATCAAAAAGCTCTTCGGGATACCTGTGAACAATTTGTGCGTTAACTCACTAAAAACCAAAATTCTACATTATTGTAACTTGTACAAAAATTGTACATTATTAAAATCATGCTAAAATAGCAGAATATTCCTGTAAACATTGCCATTTAAGAACCAAATTTAAAGTATCACACACAAGCCCAAGAGGTATAAGTGGTACTAAAAAATCCAGTTTTTTGTAATGAATATGCATGCTAATTAAATAAAAATATTATAAAATAAAAAAAATTAATTTACGAGTGCTCTTTAGAATATGTACCTATAGTATTGGAGTAGATTTGTTTAACAACCAACTTCAAAAAAGAAGTTCACAATTTAGTTGTATTAGTTATGTTTGTAACCCCATAACTCTAACAGTCATAAATCGAATTGATATCTGACAGAATAATTTATAGATTGATCCCATAAAAAAAAATATCAAAATCAGTTCAGTACAGTACACCAGTTATTTTTAATTTAAAAACTACACGTTTTTAAATTAAAAATAACTAGTCTAGCCACAACTACCGTTGTTTTTTTTTGTGGCATAGAATTATATTATTAAGTTTTCTTAGAATATTTATTTAAATTCACGTTCAAACAATTATAAAAAAGTACCTTTAGGACGAGAGTGTGTGAAACCTGAAACAAAACAATCAATCAATGAGCCAATCATTTAATTGCATAAATATAGGTAAATAAAGCGATTAATATGCGCAAGTTTATCACAAATTATCGTGATAAAAATGTCGGCATAATAAGGAATTAGGGGAAGCAGTCATTGTATTTTGTCAGATGAAGTCTGACAACGGACGATGTTGAATGTTGGCACGTACATTATTATTATTTATTATTATTATAGCTTTTTTTATCCACTTCCGTGGTCCCCAAGGGTAAAAGCCTCCTCCATCTTTTTCCACTTCTCCTTGTCTATAGCAATACCCGTCCAGTTCTTTCCTGCTATCTTTATTATGTCATCTTCCCATCTCTTTCTTTGTCTTCCAACATTTCTTTTTCCTGCTGGACCTCGCCATTTTGTTGTTTGGAGAGTCCACCTTTTATCTTTGTACCTCACTATATGACCTGCCCATCTCCACTTCTGTTTCATACTATGCTGAAGAGCATCTTTTATTTTGGTTTTCTTCCTAATATCAGTGTTTCTTATTTTCTGTATTTTTCTTAACTTTAAGATACTTCTTTCCATCGCATGCTGACATGATAGGATTTTGTTCTTTATTTTTTCTGTATAGGTCCATGTTTGGCATGCATATGTTAGGCTTGGAAGGATGCAGGAATCCATAATTATCTTTTTTAAGTTGAGACTGTAGTTCCCTTTAAGGATTTCTTTTTGAGCCCAATATTTCTTCCATGTTATGTTTATTCTTCTATCAACTTCATTTTCTCCACTGTTCGTTTCGAAAGAGACCATTTTACCTAGGTACACATAACTATCCACATAATCTATAGGGTTCTCTTCTATTGTGATAATTTTTTTGCTGTGGTTTGTCATGATCTTTGTTTTGGTTGCATTCATATTTAGGCCAATTTTCTTACTTTCCAAATCTAGTTCTTGTAGCATTTTTTCTAGGTTGCTAACCGATTCGCTAAAAAGTACTATATCATCTGCGAAACATAAGTGTGTTAGTCTTTTGTTCAGTATCCATATACCCTCATGGCTCCAATCGATACTTTTAAAGATGTTGTTAAGTACTGCTATGAAAAGTTTTGGAGAAAGTGGATCTCCCTGTCTTACGCCTCTTCCAATTGTGAACTTTTCACCCTGCCTCTCCAGTTTGACTCTGCTTATACTATTAGAGTAAATATTTTTTATAATATTTATGTAGGTGCTGTTTATGTTATTGTCAGCCAAAGCATGCCATATGGATGAATGTGTAATGCTATCGAAGGCCTTGGAGTAGTCCACAAATGCTATGTAAAGTGATTTATTAAATTCTTTGTACTTTTCTATTATCTGTTCTATTGTGTGGATGTGATCGATTGTAGAGTAATGTGGTCTGAATCCAGCCTGCTCTATTGGTTGATATTTGTCAATTTCTGTTGCTATTCTGCTCAAAATAATGGATGAAAAGAGTTTGTAAACTGTGGATAGTAAGCTGATAGGTCTGTAGTTGCCAATATCAAGCGGGTTGCCTTTCTTGTACAGCAGTATAATGTCAGATTCACACCATTGCTTTGGTACCACTTGCTTTTCCAAAACTAGGTTAAAAATTTTCACTATATATGTGATTAAAATAGGCACTCCGATTTTTATGGCTTCATTCGTAATGTTGTCTGAACCTGGGCTTTTTTCAGGTTTTAATTTTTTAATAAGTTTTATGACCTCGTACTCTGTAATCTGGTTCGGTGCTGCTTCTGAATTGCTTTCCTTACACACAATGTCTTCATCTTTATATGTTTCTTTTTCTAAAGGTTTTTTATACAGGTCGGTGTAGAATGCCGTTGCACTTCTGACTATGTCATCTCTTTCCCTGATTTCGCCTTTACCATTATTTAGAGATTGTATCCATTTTTTATGTGTTGTAAGTTCTTTGAAGGCTCTTTTTGAACTTCGGAACTTTGTCATGTTTCTTTCAATAACTGCTCTTCTGTAATTATCATGGTCTTTCCTAATTGCTCTATTAGTTTCCTTAAATAACTTCTTTATTTTTTCTCTAGTTTCTTTGGTTTTGTGCTTCTCAGTCACTAGTTCAGTTCTTCTAGAGATTAGACTCAGTGTTTCACTGCTTAAGATTTTATGTTGGCCAGCTTTTCTTTTCTTATCAAATCTTAAACTTTCTAATATTATTTCTTCCAGTTTGTTGCTCAAGGCCTGTACATCTTCTAAATTAATCAGTGAGTCATGTGATTGTGCTAGATTCTTTTTCAGATTTCGTATATAGCTGTTTCTTTTCTCAGTGGAGTTCAGTTGATTTGGAGAAGTGTTAAAAGCTCTTCTACTTATTTTTGACTTTTTGGTTTTAAGAGTGCATCTCACTAATCTATGATCAGACGGAAAGCTTGTTTTGTTTAACACCTCTATATTACTTACAGAATTTGGATTAGAGCTCAGAATGAAGTCGATTTCATTTTTTGTTTTATGGTCTGGTGATATCCATGTCCATTTTCTAGATTCTTTTTTCTTAAAAAATGTATTCATGATCGACAACTTATTCTCGTAAGCATATTGTATCAGACGTTCACCTCTTTCATTCCGTGTTCCATATCCAAATTTTCCCATTATGATGTTTTCATGTGGTTTCGGGTGTCCAATTTTTCCATTGAAATCTCCAATGACAAGCACGTTTTTGTCAGCTAAGTTTTGTGCTTTTGTTAAGTCGTTATAGAATTTTGTTAGTTCCTCTTCACTTGAGCTCACAGTTGGGGAATAAACTTGTATAATCGATATTGGTCCATCCCTCAGATTCATTCTTAGCAATGCGACTCTTTCCGATATTCCCACAAAACTTGAAATATTGTTCTTTAATGACTTCTTAATAATGAAACCCACTCCATGTAGGCCCACTGTTTCGCCTATGTAACAGAGTATATATTTGTCATGTTCTTCTATAGCGCTTCCCATTTTTTTTGTTTCTGCAAGTCCCATAATGTCCCAATTAATTTTTTCTATTGCTTGGTTTAGTTCTATCATTCTTTCTTTAGTTGCGAGTGATCTTACATTGTATGTGCATATTTTTAGGTATTGATCTATTTTTAATTTTGTTTTTTCTTTTGTATTGCTTAAGTTAATTCTATTGCTACTTACATTTTTGTTTTTGGTATTTGTTATTTTATTTGATATTTTATTTGATGAAGGGTAATGGTCGTCTTCCCCCACGGTGACCAGCCGGCTTGGGGTGTATTCTGTTAGTGTTACATTTGATGGTTTTAGTAAATTTGTTTTGTTTTGATTCCGTTTGCTAGAGGTAGTTATTAGTTTTTTGCTAGTTCCGACATGGATGATGATCTTCCACGTGCCACATAATTAAGTATTGTTTTGGTTTTGGTTTGTCTTTCATTAAATCTGTAGGCAAAACAGGTGAAATATAAGATGAATTTGGACTGCTGTTAGCCAACAGTTTTTTACTGTGATTTTTAGTAGTTGGTGAATCAGTGTTTTCTCTTTTACGCTTTTCGCGATTGCTTTCTTTTGGTTTCTTTACTACTAATTGATCATATTTCAAATAAGCTATATTTCCTTTCTTTCTTTCCTCCTCTAATTTCGGTTGTAGTTTTCTACGTATATCTAGTACCTCTTTGGGATAGTCTTCTTTAAAGTAGATGCCATGTGGAAGGTTAGATTTATTTTGTTGTACAAGGTGCTTTTTCCATGTCGACGAAAAGGACACCACTATTGGTCGGCTTTTGTTTGATGAAGATCCAATTTTATACACACTTGCTATTTCATGACTATCTAAGTGTACTCCCATATCCATTATTATTTCTTTTATATAATCCACTAATTCAGCTTCGCTTCTCTCATGTTCCTTAATTCCAAAGAATACTAAGTTGTTTTTCCTTTTATCTTTCTCTATAAAATTGAGTTTTTGTTCTAATTTTGTTATTCTTGTTTTAAGAGCGTTATTTTCCATTACAAGGGCTTTCATCTTCTCATCTAATGCTTGCATTACATTTTTAGTAACTTCGGTAGATATAATTGAAGTCTGCTTGTTCAGTTTTTCGTCTAGTTTTGAGAGTAACAGTTCCATATTTTTGTCCATATTGAGTGTTTAAAGTCGTGAACGTAATCCGTTAGTAAATTAACACTTTTTAATTTTAGCACTTTTTTCTTTGTCTGGCAACACCACAACTATCAGTGTCAAATATGATATGGTTGGTACGTAGATGTAGATTGGATTTGTAGGGTTGGTACTATTGTTGAAGTTTCTTCTATTGTCTATGATGCGAGATGAATTGTCACTTTTGAATATTTTTGAGGTTATGTTCGCAGGAATATCGTTTAAAATTTTCTAACTAACACTATTTTTTCAGCAAAATTTTTTTATAAATCACACACTTTGTAGGGTTTTGATAACTAATATCACTGTTTTGTGCACGTTTGGTGTTTTTTCCACTGTTTAAGAATATTATCGGCTTAGCAAACTAACAAGAGTATTAACAGTTACGGTACCGGAAACGGAAGTCCCGTACATACATATAATAGATATGTATATACGTGGCACGTACATATAATAGATAATGGCTTATAATGAAATCAATGAGGGATCATCTATTAAAATTATAACTACGTCATACTAGAGGTCTTCACTCACAGATATGAAAGTGGCCAGGAAACTAGACTCAGAGGGAGCCACCGTCACGCGAGTAGTACTAGTAGTATTATAATGGCCAATATTTGTAAAATTTCAATAAGGGACTGTATAATGTGGATGCAACTAAATACCTCCATAAGATGAATATCTCTGTCTCTGAGTGTTGTAGGCGGCGGAGTCGTCAGTTGGTTGTAACACTACAAACAAACAATTAAAATGGTAAAAATATTGTAAGTGAATATAAATTTATTCACAATGTTTTTACCCGATATATTATATACCATTCTAATCTTGAAGATTTTCAGTGTTAAAAGTATACATTCTCAATAGAGTCAAAAAATTACCTGTAAATGTTACGTTTTTCTGAGGGTTTATGGTGTATAAAACAACTGCATCTTTCTTATTGGCCTGAGATGGGCTCTCAGGTTCGAAATGAGTTTGGATTGAAGGTTTCACTGAAAATATAACAAAAACATAAATTGTAATTAAAGAAAAAATAATACAGAAATATGGTTGTGGTAATATTTGATTTTATTTTAGTTGGGATCATAGACAAGGTATTTTTTTTAATATAGATGATAAAAACAGCTATGGAACAGCTGTGGAAGTAGGTTAATTATTACATAGTAACTTATAGTAAATAGATAAAGCCATATTGACTGTATAATCAAGTTGAAAATACCTTATAATTTATGTAGTTAAACTATTCTTGTAACAAAGATAATTTTTATACAATTGTTCAGAAAGTATAAGAGTATGTACAGGAGTGCAGAGTTGCAGACAGACCGCAAACCAGTTTCGCGGCACTTTACTTCAATTAAATAAAACAAAAAATAAAGAATGATAATGCATTTACCTTGAATATGTCTACTTTGATTTACATTAACATTTGGTTGTTGAGTCTCTTCCATTTTTGATCCCCCACTGTTGATATGAATACAATAATTATTATTGATATTATTTATTGTTTAATAAATTATTCCAGATATTTCAAGAATAATATCTTCTTGTTCAAAAGGGGAGTAAAGAGGTTTCTTCAGAGTTGGCAACGCGCGTGTAATACCTCTGGTATTGCAGGTGTTCATAGGCTACGGTAACCACTTACCATCAGGTGGGCCGTAAGCTTGTTTGCCACCTTAGTGGTATAAATAATAATAATATATATTGTTGTGTGATCCATCCCTACTTCTTTATAATGCAGTTTTTATTCTTGTACCTAAATTTTCCTAGGTAAGCATATTGGGAAACTGTAAAACTTACCTAGTTGATTCAAGTAATAAATAATGTTTAAATAAATATCTTAAATAATCAAGGCTAACTAGGTATAGGACTAATTTAAGTTAGTCCATTACAAAGAAATTTAAAACCTAAAGAAGAGACAAAGAGTCTTGATGTAAGTATATTAAAAATTTTACCAATAATGTTCCAGCATAATAGAAATTTGGTATACATGTAGAGAAGGATATATTTTATCTCAGTTAATAAACATATGCCATTTACACTGACAAAGTCGTGGGTAAAAGCTAGTATACATATGGATTAGTGTAGCGGTTTTCTTTTTGCCAAATATTATTTTGCAGTATTCAGTCTTTGTAAATTTCTGTGCCAATTATCTCTCCAAGTACAACTTTGCATGATATTTAGAGGGACTCACATTGCCACAGAACTTGATGGATTATCACCAGAGGCTACAGATGTTTTATTACTATTTTCTCCTCTGTTAAGAGCTGGTTTGATTTGTTCACTGTTAATAGTAGGGCCCGATGCAGATGCTTTTCGTTGTTTAATTTTAGGCTTCTGATGCGGAGCCACGTTACCCCCAACTTTTACTGATTTTGGTTGCTCCAAATTTAGAATAGCTGGTGTTTCAGGGTCTAAAAACGGACCATCTGGAGGTATATCTATATCCGCCCAGAATTTATTTGTAGTTGGTACATTAGCAGATTTCTTCTTTTTGTTTCGGTTTACCCTAAAAACAATAGTAATTGGTTTAATATGCCATAACAGGGGTAAAAGGGATTGTAAGTAATGGGGATTAGCAATTCTATTAGTAGCAATATACTCTATCAGGTTGATTTGCTCGCAGTTCCCCCTGGAAACCATTGTGGCTGATCTATTGGTGAATTTGTCATGATGGGCTAAGTGATCTTCATCTTCAGTTATCACTCCTCTCTAGTGTCCCACCAGTGTATACTAATAGCGAAGGTGGGGTTACCATTCCATTATCATCCATTAAAAACAAATATCATTACAGATGTAGGACACCTGGTGCTGGGATTTGTTGCAGGTTATTTACAACCAATCAGTGCTGTATAATGAACAACTTATTAATATGATTATGAAATGATAATCCCGCCTGCACTATTAATATACACAATAAGTATAGGTAATGTCAGTACCACTGTCATATCTATATATGTGTTAGAAAAAAGGGTCATTACCCATTTCGATATAGCCCATACCTGTTGAATAATCTAATTTCAATTGTTTTTTATTTCATTTATATATTGGATAAATGATATTTAATAAATCATTTACTGGGCTAATATATACATATAGTAACTACAATACATAGATACTGCTATATATTATCCACCACTGGTACCAGTAATTTCATATTCTATTCCAATACTGATGTGGGAAAGTAAGTTTTATATATGCTAAATAAAATTAAAAAAAAAAATTATGTGGCCTTATTCAGACAAGGCCAAGAAAGGTCTGACAAAGTAAAATGTGTGCGCGGGATGTTTATGCATCTATTTCAACCATAGGAAGAAAGGACGCTGAGGTTATGTTTGCATCCGGGCACTGCTCGAGTTAGAGAATTAGGTTCGGGTTGAGCCAACGAGACATTATTTAACCTGACAGAGAACTATTACAAAACTAAGAGAGATTATATGTGACGACCAAGACTTTCATTTAAAAGTACGTACGGCTGTGGCCGCGACTTTCTGTACTGAATATTATGTAAAGTTTGGTTTCTTTTCATGCTTTTGATTCCTTAATACAGCAAAAGTATATAAGATGTTTTTGTTTTGATATTAATCATTGACCGAAAAATGCTATTAATCTACGAGTCATTGACACACAAATGACAATGTTTGACAGTTGACAGAAATTGACATTTAATATGACTTTGATAGCTAGATATACATAGATGAAGGATTCTTAGCAATTGTGATGTAGGTAGGTAGGTTACTACAGCCAATTTATTAATATAATATCGATATACTAACATAGTTAATTTTAAAATTTCGTGTTATTTACACATATTTTAAATACAAAATCGGGATATGACGCTATAAAAAAAAAGAAGACCACGATGTGGTGCAATCTACGTTGAAACGTCGTCAATCAAAAAGCAGGTATGTAAGCACTACTTATCTGCAAAGGTTTTTTCATCGCGTCAAGACCTGTTTGTTTAAATATATTATATAATGATTTTAAATATATTTACTTTAATATTTGTTTCAACGTGGTTTCGACAGAATATATCAGTGTGGTCAACAAGAAAATTTAATAAATCTGCAAGGTCATAGATTAAAGATATTATTAGCGCCCTGCTACTCCTGCGCTATCTGTATACGCTGGCGGAGCACCAGTGAGAAATTATAGGTGAGCATGAAAGTTCAGAAGAATTTTACGAGAAGTAACCATGATAGTTTTCAAGGGGAACCGCGTGAAGGTCGACCTGATAGGGTACATTGCTAGCAATGTGGCTGTTAGATCTCATTACTAACAATCAATTTTACTCTGCGTAGAAGGTTTACTCCATATTTATTTAAAAAATTAAAATCGTGTAGGTACTTTTCACGTAATCTGCATAGTTTTAATTTTTTTAGAAAGTATTTATATTATTTCTTTAAAACACTTGTTTCTATAGATATGAGTTATAAATAAACAAAATTCGATATTAGGATATTCTAAGAAGCATTAAAGCAATCAATATAGTCGAAATGATTAGTAGGCTGGAATGGTAACGGACTATCCACATAATTGCCTGATATATAAGTAGCTGATATGCGATGGAAAATAAAGGTTTTCAAGTGAGAGCTCGTGTGGTGGTGTGAGCAGTGTGCTCCCCTCTGCAACCTCTTCGAAAGGGGAAGAAAGGATTGTTGGTAGTGAGAAGTAACAGCATCATTGCTAGCAGTATTCTGTAAGGTCGAACTTTACGCGATATCTCATTATGCTGGGCCAATTGATCTGTTTTGACTTAAGTCAATTGTTTTGACCCATCTTACGATACCTACGAGAAAGGAAGGGTGGACTACTCTATGCTGACACCACATGTAGATACAGATATGCTTTCATTGCGGGGAAAGGGATTGTTAGTAATTGTCATGTATAGTTAGTTTGAAGGTAGTTGAATAATATGATTAAAACAGTTGTTGTCTGACATTGGGATGGTTTCATTAAAACATTACATGGTGGCAGCGGTGGGATATAAGGAACCTATGATTCCAGTAGAGATACCCCCTTTGCCGTGGACGAAAGTAGGTACTGATATTTTTGAGTACAGAAGAAAATATTATTTGATTGTCGTAGATTATTATTCTAATTATGTTGAAGTATGTAATTTACAAAATATTACCTCATATACAGTCATACAAAATATAAAGGAAGTATTTTCTCGTCATGGCATACCTGAAATATTAATAAGTGACAACGGCACTCAATTTAGTAGTCGCGAGTTTAAATTATTTGCTAGTGACTGGAGTTTTCATCACGTGACTTCTTCACCCAACTATCCTCAGTCAAATGGAAAGAGTGAGCGTGCTGTACAAACAGTTAAGTCACTGTTGAGTAAAGCAATTAAGACAGGAGGAGATTTTCAATTAGCGTTATTGAATTACAGAAATACTCCTAGAGAAGGTTTAAGCTCTCCTGCACAGATGTTAATGAGTCGCAGATTAAGATGTAAACTTCCGGCCAGCGTACAAATATTAAAACCAAAACTTGTAAATGAAACAGAATATCATACCTTGGTCTATAAGCAAAAGTCCAATAAGGGATACTATGATCGGCATTGTAAGACGCTATGCAAGTTAGAAAAAGGTGACCAAGTAATATGTAATGATGGTAAAAATCGTACTAGGGCCACTGTAGTAAGCACGGCTGATACGCCTCGTTCTTATATTATAGAAAATAAAATAGGAACCAAATATCGACGTAATCGTCGTCATTTAATCAAATGTGAACCACCGGAAGTAAAGTTTGAAATAAACAAAGCTGAACCAGCCGTGGTTACTAAGGTTTTAAACCAAAAAACATCTGAGACAAGGTCGGACGTATGTATCGGTGGCACGATGGATGCACCGTACCGCACTGCTGAGACACCGCCGGGTTCGAACCCGCAACCAAATAGCAGTAGTGGTAGTATGTTTCTTAAACCACCGCTTACGCGCAAGCGTGCCAAAACACTCAAATAAATTAGATAGAATGCATTCTCAGTGAACACACTCATATCTGTTTTTGTATAAAACATACTACATCTACTATATTTCTTTATATTGATTTCTTTAGCAATAAGGTGTTATAAAGTAGTATATAAGAAGTACATATTAAAGCATTACAAACTCGGACTGTAATTGCATTTACATGTTTATTTTTTGATAAGGTTTATTTTCATCTATAGATTTAATAAAAATATATATTCCTATTTACTGTTTATAGACTTGTATTGTAGTAGATAAGTAACTATGTAGTTAAAGTGTATATATTTAAGCAAATAGGTAATAAGTACTCAATTATATATTTTGTTTGGGAATATAAGTTCTTATGTCTTCTTTTTTTATATAGGGAAAGATGTCATGTATAGTTAGTTTGAAGGTAGTTGAATAATATGATTAAAACAGTTGTTGTCTGACATTGGGATGGTTTCATTAAAACATTACAGTAATGGAGACTAAATATCCCATAGCTAGCAATATACCCAACCAGGTCGACCTCTTCGTAGTTCCCCCTGGAAATTATCATGGTTAATTCCTGATGAATTCATCATGATGGGCTAACTGGCCTGTTTTCATTCTCATCGATCACCCTTCACTGGTGCTCCACCAGCGTATCCCGTTAGCTCAGGCGGAGATACCATTCCATTTTCACCCATCAGAAGATTTGCTTTTATTGATTTAGTGTCGTTTGATCTGCATTTGTTTCTCAGGGTGTATGCTTTTACTCGATTAATTTTAATTATGATATTAATGAAACTATTAATATCAGTGGCCTAGTCTTTGGTACTGTTCCCTCGGGGACCCAGTCGACACGAGTAGCAGGCGCGGTGCGGCGCGGCGTGGCGCGGCGCAGCGTGCACTCAGTAGGCAGTCATTGTAGTCAGCACTCAGCCCGCGGCTGCTTATAAAATGCAATATTGCTCGTTAAACCCACTTGACCCATGGCGCGGCCCTCTCCAGTTCACAGGCTGTTTTATTATTTCACGTCGGGAAATAAAAATATCACGACATATTAAATTCGAGCATTAGGTACCTACTGTGCAGAAATTTATTTCGCTAGCTTTACTTCGCCAGCTTAGTAGAAATAGATTTTTTGTAATTTAAGTTTATAGTATTTTCCTTTTTTATTTCTTATACTCGAATCATAAATACATTATAGAATAGGTACTAGTCTATAGGTTCATGCCAATACTACGAATACATGGACGTACAAACTTACATATTATATGTATGTGTCTATAAGCCGGATCGAGTTATAACGGGATTTGCATAGTCATCGTGTTATATGTTAGGTGCTACCGAAAACACTACAGGATCAAGTTTAAAACATTTTCAATATTTAGATGTGATGACTAAATCACAGTTAATTTACACTAGTAAATTAATTTACAAATATTCTCTATTTGTAATGAGTTTTTTTATGTATAATTGTACTGTTTGTGATTTTTGATGTTGTAAATAAGTTAGTTAAAGTTAGTTTAGTCATTTTCCTGCAATGATAACAACAGACTGCATTTATATATATATATATATATATATATATATATATATATATATATATATATATATTGATATAATAGTTTTGATTGCATCGATGATATAAGTATTAAGAAGTGAAGTCAAGACAACACGCATTGAATAATACAGCTATGTACAGAGTATCACGCGGCAATCACAATAATAATTAATTACAATTAATATCTTTAAATGGAAGCTATTGTTGTCAACAAGGGATGTTAATTATGCAATACAATGCTACCAAATCGAATTAAATTAATGGAAACCGAAGCTGTTGGGACAAATTGCTAGTTGCTATTAGGTAATAAAATTGCAGGATATGGAAAGTCGTGTTGCACATCGCAATTATATTTCCACACCTATATTTGTAACAATAATAATGGTAACGGCCTGTAGGTACTATTGTAACACGTTAATAGGGTCACGATCCCGAATATTAGTAACAGAAGAAAATTAAATAATAAGCATCAACTCTAAATAAATGCCAGTACTAGGATTGAACTTGTGCCAACCGGGACTTTTGATAATGTGCGCTAATTAAATTCAAGGAAAATAATACACAATACCTATTTAATATCGTGACTAGTGACAAAATAATATGGTTCCATGTGTGTTAATGTCCTAGAGCGTTTACAAGTTTTATGAAATATCAAGTAATGGCTCCGTCGCTTTAGGTGCGGAAGACTGATTGGTGATTTTTTGAATTGATTGAGAAATACCTATCACAGTGTTTTAGGAGTAAAGATTACATATATAGACAACTAGTTACATACATGACTAGTTGTTACATGCCGCTTGACCCAAGCAAATTGGGATAAAATATATCTGATGTATTTGTAGTATACATGTTTTCACCATGGCTCACCTATGTACTAAATAGATGTTATTAAATCTAAACGGTCAGAATTTTTTATAAAAAACTAATAAACTTTTAATTCTTGTGATTATTGTAAATTTGTAAGGTTATAACGATTCGGATGGTCGGTTACTCAACACGCTTGAACAGTTGAACTTTATAAATATATAAGATAAGATAATTTTATAAATATTGTATTAAACGAACGAAGCTGATGGTTATAGCTAGTTCATAATATTAGTAAAATTAAATTGGCGTACAATATGTTTTCGCAATTTTTTTGGTCTCAGTAATTGAGAAGTTTCAACAGGGTTGTCCCTCTCTACGTGTATCCGATTACGTCGGTAACGTTATCAATATACAATTATCGTGTTGTAAAATTCAATTATCAATATTAATCTTCAGATGAAAATTATTATATACAAGTCTTACATGAGATTATAGTGAATCGGACAACAAGAAATGTAGTGGGAACATATTGTATGGCGTCACAATTGTTTACATGAATTTAAATTATACAAGAAACTTCAAAAAGATTAATGTGAAAGTATTAGTGTATATTATCATTCATCATTAATAAAACGTCATAACTGTTCGTCAAACTATTTAGATTTGATATAAATAGAATAACCTTTTTAGGTGTGAACAATCGTGATTGTAGTACAAATGTATTGTAATTACAGATGGGCAAAGCACCGGGTTTAAACCCGGTGCTTTGGTAAAAACCCAATAAACACCCATAAACTCCCATAATCACCCAAAAAAATAGGTTTTTACGTATTTTTTTGAAAATATGTAAGTAATACCAATAAATTATTTTTATAAATTGTATTGATCAATTCTACAATATTAAATAAAACGTTAACTAATAATATTTCAGGAAATTTTAAAAATCTATATATAATAAAATGAAAGTAATTAATTTTCAGTGTTTTCATGTTGCAGTTGATCAACATGTTGGCCTTTTGCTTCCCGTAGATACTTTAAAATTTCTTCATAACACCTCGTTCGCACACATGGCCGTATATATTTAAATTCTTGAGCCACTAACAGTCCGAAATACTCATTTCTTTTATCCTCTTCTCCATAAATTAAGCATTTAGAACAGTTTGTTTCTTCTTTCAGTAAATTTTCTTTTACTTTATCCTCGTTTTTTTTCTTTGTTGCGACGACGCTGGGTAAATCATCTGGACACTGGGTCTCACTATCGCCAAATATATTTGGAGATCGGCTTCGGCTACGGCTTGGCAGACATTTTTTTCTTTCTACAATTTTAAATTAAATTTATTAGAATAAATGCTTCGAACACACGCGATCTAAGTACCTTTTGTGTTTATTATACCTTACCTACCTAGGTATAAAAAGAGTACTTACGTAGATTTTCTTTTATTAACTGTTTTATACGAAGATCTTGATCTCTCAAATTAGCATCCATTTTACTTCCAGTGATTATCAACTAAATTAATAATCCACAAAGTATTAAATAACGTTTTTATGAAATATTTAGCACAAAAACAATACCCTTTAAATATCGATCGTCAGTAACTGTGGCTGACTTACCTATATTCTAGCAAGCAGGACTGCCAGATGTGAAGGGGAAATCCCCAATAAATTGTTGCATGTGACTGATGATGTGAGCATGTTCGTTTCATAATAAAAATGTTGCCAGGTAACCAAAAAGTCGTATGTTTTTGTGCGAATTACGATCATAATCTTTACGATCGTACATTAAAAAATAGACAAATAATAGTATGAGTACGATTTAAATCGTATATCTGTCAACCCTGCTAGCAAGACAGCGACAAAATCACGTTGCATAACAATGTAGCCCAAGCTTATATCTTATGAAATATACGGAAGAGATACGGACTTAGAAAAAACAGAAATGTTGTTCTTTGTGGAAGTCATTGATGAAATTCTATGTATTTTAGCCCGCAAACTTTCTTCAAACAAAAACAGCGCCATCTAGTATCGAGTTCTGTAATTATCTCTTTGTTTATGGATTTGAAGTAAGACCGCCACGCATGCAATACATTATGACTGGGGATTCCCCTATTCGTCGACGCTGAATATGAGGCGACGACAATCACTGTCAAACGTGTTCACTATTACTCTGACTCTGGTAACGTGACTTCCTGGTAACGTGTTAGGTAGGAAAAGCAGTAAAAAAGTGCATATTAAGGGAGCAGATTTGAAATAATATTTATACTTAACAAGAAATAATTAAAGGTAAGTGGATTTTTGAATGATACAATTATATCATGATCACTTAACAATTTTAACTTAAAATTAGATGTATTATTACAAGCTTTTATTTAGCTTGCGTTATGTAAATAAAAGTATGTAGGTATGTTCGTATGTTGATGCAATTATCCTCAATCCTCAACCGACTGGGATAAAATTTTCCATACACGTTTATTTTGGATGATAGTGCATAGTTAGCTGAGAGTCGTCATTGGATAATAATGGTGGATAGCCTAAGATGTGTACTAGATATTTATTTTTAACATAATATGCGTAAGTACCTAATCGAATTAAAGAAGTTGCTGAGAAAAATACAGAACAATACGATAATAAACTAGCGTCTGCGTTTAATCCTCCGAGGAGATGTAATTTTACAAAGGTTTTTTGTATTTATTTTATTATTTTTTTAATAAATTTATTGTAAATAACAAGAAATAATCATTGTAAAAAAATAGGCACTCTATTGTTGAATTTTCGTCAGACCAACTAATCATCGTTCATTTTTTTAGGTTCAATGGGGAGACCTAAAGATTTACGCATATGGGAGCACTACCGTACTTTACCAAACAAGTCTGTTTCTTGCAAGCTTTGTAATAAGGTCTACAAATTCAGTAATGCTGCCAAAATGCTTCAACATCTTATCACTTGTCCAAAATCTCCAGAAACATTAAAAGACTCTATGAAACTTATAAAAGATAGCTCGTCCAAAACCAAAATGTCTGGACTGTCAGAGATAGAGACAAATGATTCTTTTATAAGCCCCTCGTCGTCTGCTAACACTACAATAAATGCTGAGTTTCAAGACACCGATGATCATATAAAAACAGAATTAGCGAGAGCTATATTTGTAACAGGGACGCCATTATCGATGGTGCAACATCCTTTATGGATACAATTTTTCGAAAAATTGCAACCAAAATTTAAAATACCTTCACGTAAAGCTTTAGCGACAAAATACTTAGATAAAATATATAGAGAAATGCGTTTTGAGTTAAATGAGGAACTAAATGCTTGTAGTTACTTACACCTTCAGTGCGATGGCTGGTCTAATTTAAGAAATGAAGGAATAATAAACTTTCTTATATCAAAACCTCAACCTGCATACGTTAAAAGTTTGAATACAGAAAGTAATCCTCACACTAGTGAATACCTTAGCCAAGAAGTTGAAAAAGTAATGAAAGTGTATGGAGCAAATAAGTTTCTTGTACTTATTGGCGATAACGCTAGAAATATACAACACATGTTGTTCCTCTCGGTTGCTGTGCACATATCCTTAACTTGTTGTGCCAAGATATTGTAAAGATACAAGAAGTAACTGTGTTTATTATGCAAGCCATAAATATAATAAAAACTGTTAAAAGGAGTCAACGATTAAGTTCCTTGTTGATAAAATCAAGGCAGGGTGAAGATTCTACACAAACACTAAAATTGCCTTGTGCTACAAGATGGGGAAGTCATGTTACTTCGTTAAAAAGTTTGAAAGCAAATAAGATAGCTTTGCAAATATTAACAGTTAGAGAAGATGTGGTAATTTCAAGAGATATTAAAGATTTAATTCTAAGTGATGATTTCTGGACGAAGACAGGGGAATGTATAAGTATTTTGGAACCAGTCACTGAAAGCATATTTTACTTAGAGAGCGACCAGAATCGTTTGCATCGCACATACATTACATTTAGAGATGTACAAGCTAAGATACGTTTTGCATTAAATGAGATTTCGACATTGAGCGAAGAAAGCAAACAGCAGATTCTAACATCAGTATCTTCAAGATGCAATATGGCAATGAGGCCAATACATTTTGCAGCATATATTCTAGACCCCAGGACTCTAGGAGTCGAACTTACTCAAGAGGAAGAACTTAAGGGTATGGAGTTTATCTACAATTTAAGCCAACACTTAAGTTTGTCAAATGTAATGGCAGATTTGGCGTGTTATAAAGCTAAAGAAAACTTTTGGGCCAGAGGATTTGTATGGAGCTCATTAGATAGCATTGAGCCCCTAATATGGTGGAAAGGTATTTGTGGTTCCACTGAGTTAAGCAAAGTAGCGATTCGTATTCTATCAGCTCCCTGTACTTCGGCAGCCACTGAGCGTTCCTTTAGTATCCAAGGCTACATACATAATAACAAAAGAAATCGACTTACAACTGAAAGAACTGAAAAAATTTCATTCATTTGTTATAACTGGAAGCTTTCATTGAGCAAGTAAATGAACATAACAGTTTAGACGAAATAGAGCCTATCGAACCTATACAATTCATCGCTTGTAATAACTCTGAATCTGACAGTGATTGACTGTAGTTTTACATTTTACTTTCATCTCTTTCTTAATAAACTCAAAATCAAATTAAAAGTTTTTTATTCTGTAGGCTGCATAATAATATTGTCTATGTCCAGTATAGTGGACGTCTTGCGGCTGAGATGACGATGATGAAGTACAAAATCATAAACACCCAAAAATTTGGGTGTTTATGGGGTTTAAACCCAATAAACCCAAAACACCCGGTTTTTACCCACCAGACTTTAAACCCACCCAGGTGGATTGCCCATCTCTAATTGTAATGATGTTTGCTATAATCATCGGGTCATGTGTTGGTATATTTATTATTATTAAAACAAAAAAGTGAAGACTCAATATTTTATTTATTAATTTCAATATTTTTAAAATTAAATAATGAACATCGTCTCTATTTTGACAAGTAAATTTTCGATAGTTTTTACACATATTGCATTACAATGTTTTCACGTAGGTACATTCTCTTTATGGTATTAGATTAGTTATAAGTTTATGGTCTTAGACATAATATATCAAATATTCCTATAAAAAGATATTTTCAGGAGTCAAATTAAAACTATAAAGTGGCTATGGAATCAGTGGCGTAACTATACCATTTGGGGCCTGTGGCAAATTCTTTTGATGGGTCCTATCAGTAAAAAAAAACATACTTTTCAAGTAAAATAAAATACTCACGTACAATGTAAAAAAAAAATATTTCTGAGCTCGCGGCCTCTTGAGCTGGGGTCCTTTTGGATCGGGGGCCCGTGGCATTTTGCCAGCCCTGCCACCCTATTGTTACGCCACTGTATGGAATGTCTCTTCTTCTGGAAATTAGTTTGTTCTTTAGCATCTTTTCCAGCACAACACTCAGGAATCTGTTACTGCTGTGACATTAACTAGCTGCATCCAAGTGCCCTGACTATAATCAGGAGCCTTCTTTGTCACCATGAGATTTCTTGATGTTTCTGTGATTATTTTAGCAGAATTTGCCATCTCTCTAGTTGCCCATGCTAGTCAGTTAAACTACCAAACAAAAAAGAGAGACAGAGAACAGCTTTTGGTATTTGAAATAGGGTTTGGCCTATTGCAATATCTACAATTCTGCTCGATACCGATCCCATTTAAAAATCGACATCAAAATGTGAAAATTATTGAAGCACGGTTTTAGCAAATTTTAATCCTAATGATTTTATTCCAGTACTAATTTGATTTTGTAACGGTGTAATTTGAAATCCAATTTTAATCCTTAACTGGTATCGTAAATTTAATAAGTACTTAACTCGCAAAGTGAGGGCTGTGCGACCTTCAAGTGATATTTGTTTCCAGAAACCGAATTTCAAAATTGGATAAAATGTCTTATATTTTGTAAATAATAATACATAGTTTTCTGTAATCATATTGTTGTTATTATTTACACATTATTAATGGCACAGAAGTGTTTATATGAGGAGCCACGATGTCATGCCCTGCTCTGTTGGATGGGTTTTTTATCGAAAGTTGAGGTACAAAAAAAGTGGCCTGAAAACTTTGTACGTTACCGCACTCATATGATAACTTTACTACTATAAATTGTGGGATGGGTAATTTATTAAGTAACATTTATTTGTATATATGGGTATATATATATATATATATATATATATATATATATATATATATATATATATATATATATATATATATATATATATATATATATATATATATATATATATATATATATATTGCCCAATAACTGACAAATCATTCCGTACCTATATAATTTCTAAATGAATTCAAACATCTGATCGGCACGGGTGATATCGAAATGTCATACATTTTCATTTGTCATACAGGCCTTTTTCTTCATTATTGCCCAGAGAAATCCAATATATAGATATTGGGTGCAATACTGATATTACCCATGCCGATTTATTAGTATTTATTTTATATTTATTTTCGGATTTATATTCTCCGCTTCCAAGTTGTTATTGTTTTATTAACAGTTTATATTATATAATTTTAAGAGCACGTTTTTACTAGTATTGCATATATTTATTGTAATTCAAAATACATATTTATAATTTTTTTCTTCAAGAGATATATTCGAGCGCCTTAATGACAGTAGGTATCTGGTAATTGTTTGAACAGACAATGTGTTTTTCTGTACGTGGTTCATACATATTCCTGAAGTTATTTAGAAGTTTTGTATTGAAGAATCGTATCTCTCGATCTCGGAAATATAAGAAGTTTGGTAAATCAAACAAATTGAAAGTGTCATGGCGGCGGCGACGTCAGCACTGAGGTGGTACGTATATACCTACTATTGTTAATTAATTCATGTTGTCACACTGTAATATGTATTTACATTTAGCATACTGCAATACACTTATATTGATTATTTAAGTATTTGTTTAACCTATATTATATATTAAAGTGGTAAGCGTCGCAAATAGACATGAACAACACCATAATATGACATTATAGAGTTTTAGATTATATAGGTAGAGTGTCTCCATACAAATGCTTTGCTAAAAACAGGTCAACTTTTTTATTCATACTGCGTCAGTGGAGTATATATATATTACTATGTATATAGGGGAAAGTGTATTGTAAGGTTAAATTGAAAAACAAAAACTATTCATAATTCTTATAATGTATTTGAAAGAATCAGATAAACAGTCGATAATTATAACAACGCTTATCTTTACTGAATGCTTCGATTTATGTTTGAGTACAGATATAAAATGTTTTAGTTTTTAAATAATTGGAAACATGTATAATAATTTGAAATTATAAAGTATATTTATATTATATCAGAGAAGTAATTCCAATACAAATTCAAAAATTTGGGGGATTTTTAATCTAATTACTTGCAATATAGAAAAAAGTGCGTTGCTTTAATTTAAAAAAAAAAACAAAAAAACATTCGTCAGCCAATATGACGTTTGGCATTACACTAAAGATTACTAGATAAGGCTTACATAAATCTCATTAAAGAGAGAATGACTGAAAATTGGAAGAAACATTTCACTTATTGTACAGCAATTTTAAATAAAGGGCTATGGTACTCTTCAATTAATAACATTATTAATAAAACTCCTTGGTTCAGTAAATCGATTCAATTTCTAAATAGAAAATCTTGTGCTACTATTTGTCGCTTAAGATTTGCTCATTGGCATCTTAATTTTCATCTTTTCCACTTTAATATGGCAACTAGCCCTCAATTTGAATTCTGCCAAACAGGGGAAGATTAATCTTTACATCACTTTTTAATAATAATAGATGGGCTAATTCAAATGTTCATAGTATAAAATAATATATAAATTTCCCGCGTTCTTTGGATGACGTAAAGTATATCCTTTGTTATTTAACTTGGTAAATAATATTATTGGTGAAACTTGATGCCTGGCACTGATAAGATTTTTGAGAAGAATTTAGTACATTCTGTAAATGTTTCTACTAAATATATAAATTGTCTACCTGTACATGAAGAACATATAGAAATGACATTTGGAATTTATAATTTATTTATAAGAAAATTTATAAATATTGTGTAAATAGTTTTACAAAAGAAATATATAATCTTTACATGAAGAGTAAGTCAAAATGGAGACTGTTTCCTCAACACAACTCCTATGAAGAGTAATATACAATATGTATGAAATAATATTCTCCGCATTTATGGAAAACTGATAATATCTTATGACTAGGCTGTATGGGCCATGCTCTTTGCCTGTCCATTTTGGGCGGAATTTAAAACAACAACAACTAAAAGTTGTCTCGTTTTTTACACTTAATGCTCTATCTATATAATAATTTTTATTTTCAGACTACAATTTGGTCTATTTTAAGCAACAGTTTCATTCAACCTATGTTAGTGAAAAAAAGTAAATATTCAAATAAAGCTATTAACTCAGATGTGTTTCAGTCGATTAGATCAGTATCCGAATGAAATGCATAATTATAGGCGAGTTGTATTTCTCGTCTATTATTATCAGAATGCTGTTGGTGCTTGTTTTAAACCTGTGTAGCAATGATGCAGATCTCTTTCTCCTCATAGCGTAGTAATCATCCACCCGAGATTGAGCAAACATGCTAGAGGCGCTACAAAAGCGAGGTAGCCCCAACAGCAGTCTGAATCTGTTATTATACTGGATTCGTACGGCATTGAGTGAGACCTCTCTATGTGTGTGTGTGAGTGTGGCTTTGAAGAGTGTGATATTTACTTCTTCATTACAACGAGCAAATCTGCCAACATGTTGCACCCAACAGCCAATGCCTTATGATCCCTTTCGACATCAGTTTGAAATTTAAGGTCATCAGTAACATAGTGCCTCAGATATTCAAATTTATGCACTCTTTTTATATTTGCTCTGTATAATTGGATATCGGGCACATGCGTAGGATATTTACCGTTGGCTTTAAATATTTAACACTCTGTCTTGTTTACATTATCTTTTAAACCACGACTCGCAGTACGTCTCACACATATGCATAAGCTGTCTTAGGGCTCCGATCGTTGGAGTCAGTAGCACCATGTTGTCAGCATAGCTAATATTGTTAACACAGACATTATTTACGTGACATCCAACACAGCTACTGTTGATTCCAATAATCAGATCATTTATAATAATCATCAGATAATTGAAGAGCCTGGACGAAGTTAAAGTACCTCACCTCATTCTGCATTCTAGCCTGTACTCTTCAGAAAGCGCATTGTTCCACCAAACGCTGTTTAACTGATTGGTATACTAATACTGTAATATATTAATCAGTCCATTACATACGGTACTATCTTTAGGTTTTTTCCAAAGCATATCATAAGATACGAGGTCAAAGGTCTTGGAAAGTTCCAGAAAACATGCAAATATCTGTGTTTGTTTGTTTGTATAATACTGGACAGTAGCCAGTAGTAGTAAGACTCAGATTTGCCAATTCAGTACATAGCTCAGAACGGAAATCAAACTGAGCGTCATGTAAATGTAGATGTTTGTTCAAATACGAGTCAAGCAAACCGTCTAATACCTTAGACAACAGTAACCAGTGAAATAGGTATATAGCTGTTATAGTCTGAGATGTCTCCCGTTTTATTTTATGAAATTGGCGCAACCACTGTTTTAATTAATTTGATGGGTAAATTAGAAATACGAGTACAGAATACATTACGCCGCCCATAATTACTATATCTTAGGACTAAACTATTATGCGTTCGTACTCTGTAAATTTACTGCAGTGTTCTATCCCAGTGGGTATATTATGTTTTGTGATCCTGCCTTTTAAAACTAAACTCAAATATACAAGTATAATTATTGTAAAACTATTTCTCTGATACATAATTATCAATTATAAATTTCATGTTTTAATGCTTTAGTCGCCTTCTGTTACATCTTGGGGATTTTGGGGACGACTAGAAGCGGGGATATGCCGAATTCTTGTTCTGGTAGTAGTAACAACACATTGTTCGTCTGTTTAAATAAAATTAATTACTTCTACTTTGTTCTGTTCTAAAGATTATCTTTTTAGGTTTCTTCTTCTTAGCGCCAGCAATATCTTGGGGCAATACTTAGATGTCGGGCCATTTGAAAACAATGGTGTTTGCGGCAAAATGATTTGTAACACATTGGAGAAGTTAAAAGAATTAGAGGGCTGCATGGTCGTGGTCGGAGATCTGCAAGTTTCACTTTTGGAGAAAACGAAAAGAGAAGATTTTGAAGGAATATCCTTTAACCTTAGAGAAGTAAGTGAAAGATTCGGTTTGTTTTTATAGATGACACCGCCTAAAAAAATTACATCATATACTCGTATTACATATCTTAAGGATGTGGCAAAAATGTCTGTCTGTCTGAAACTCATTGAATATTTATGAAACAACTTTCTTCAATACAGATCGAAAATCAGAATAGGAAAAACATAATATTTATTATATAATATATAAGATATGCTTATGAAGATTATTTACCTACTTAAGATTTTTTATAAACGCAAAGTACTCTCATTGATAAATAAATAAATTGCTTTATGTAAAACTCATTATAAACTGTCACAAAACTGGACATTTTTTGCTATTAGGTAATTTTAAAGCGGCATTTGAATATGGAAATATTATTAATATTATCACCGAAATATATATATCTGCGCAGGTAACTGGATACGTGGTGTTTTATCGGGTGATTGGCTTGGAGTCCCTCGGACAATTGTTCCCGAACCTGACTAGAATACGAGGAGCTCAAGTCCTAAATGATTATTCTTTGATTATTTTCGATATGCCAAATCTTAAAGAGGTAAGACTTCATATATGTTTTAGTAGTTAAACGTTATATTTGTATTGGTGAAATTACTGTAACTGCTATTATTAGATATAACATCATAGTCCCCAGGAATAGTAACGCATAACGGGCTACCATGAGCGTCACACTGTGTTCGGATATGTCCATGGTGCTGTTTATATCTATAGGCGACGGTTTATTTGCTATATTAATTTGCATTTAGTGTCATAAAAACTCGTACGGATTAAGTACCAGAGGGAGACTTTGTACAAAAGTCGATTGCTTGGGTACCTCTGTCCCATTCGTGTTTCTATCGTGAAGCAGTTGTGTTTGCATGGCTGTGTTTTGATTTGTAGGGTGGGATATGGCGTGAATTTACTGGGTACAGAGGAATAACAACTGAGTCCTCAGGAATGGCAACGCATGGGGGGTATCGTGGGCGAAATAGTATACTCTGTTATGTCTTATGTCTATAGGCTTCGGTTACCAGTTTTCATCAGGTAAGCCGTCAGCTTGTTTGCCATTCTAAGTTGTATAAAAAATATGTTACGTTTTATTATATTTATTACCTTTATTTAAAAGCTACGCTCTTGTCGCTGGAGCTTCCGTCACTCACTACTATTTTTGGCGTGTCTCTTTATCTCTTGATATTTATGTTTATTTGCATTTATTGGTGCACCTATCACAGATCGGCCTGTACAGTTTGCTTAGAATAGACCGGGGCGGAATCATAGTATGGGCCGCACCACAGGCCTGCTACTTGAACACCATTAACTGGAAGGTGATAGCGCCGAGGTCCCGCCATGTTCTGGGCTCGTCCGATGTGAAAATGCAATGTGTCTCCACTTGTAGGTGTACTAGTGACATTGAAACAAATTATTGCTGGAATTACAAGTAAGTGGGCGTCAATGGATTGATAAAATATGAATATTTAATCATTTGGCAAAATTCTAATATATATAATTTATTATTAGTAAGTTTATTTTTTTCATTTATCTCGTATTTTTACTTATTTTTATACATATCATTAAATTACTTTTACCTGAGAATCTGTGGTAGTGTAGGCGATGAAAGTTCCGTAATTTTGCTGTTAATATCTATAAAGATGCATCACTTTTGATATTGTTATTTATAAGGATCACTGTGTGTTTATACAGAAAATGTCAGCGTTACGTAGAAGGACCTGAAGCTGACAAATGCAACGAACAGTGTCTCGGCTGCAAGAAAACCAACGGGAACGATTGCAGTGTTTGCCGGTATTACACGTACAGAGGTCGTTGTGTGTCCAAGTGTCCAGTCAATACGTTAGTATCGTACTATGTTCAGTATTAATTTAAAATCTCCTTCATTAGATTATAAGTTAGACCAAGACAGACAGACTAAGATTCTGAGTAGAGCTCAATGTGATAGCTATTTCCACGTAGGTATCACAATTAAAACATTACTGTGTTTGCATAATGGCATTTAAGCACCAAGTTTAAGTTTTTTAAGCACTGACTTTAAATTTTATTTCAGTTATGCGCGAACACGACTGAATGTAATTAGCTCACTACGCTTCGTTTAGATAGTATCTACTTATATCAGACTTGTCGACCTAGAAATTAACTCTTGGAGTTTGAACTTTTTTTAATATTTATATGAATTTTTCTTATTATTTATTTAGAAATAAAGTTACAGAAAGCAAAAACGTCAAGTCTTTCTAGGTAATGTCGGCCTAGTCCTCTCACCTACCTAGGCAACAGAACGGCACCACATCTATTCCTGTATAGGTATATAATATACTTCCGATGCGTGTATGTACCTAAATCTCAGATTCTTTTGGCTTCTGTTCATCTCTCGAGACTTCATTCTCACTAAAGTTTGGGCAGTGTATTCTCCACAAGAGATCCTATTCTTGTGAAAAATAAGCTGTTTATCCTTAGAAAGCCTATCAACTATCCTAACCGTTTTTCCTTTAAATTTCACATCAAGGTTCAATATTTCACATCCTCTTAATCTGTTCCAACATTGTAATTATAAAATAAAATTTTAATACAACTTAAAATGGCAAAAATCGAATTATGAAAAGTGGTAATCTTCGCCCATAGACCTGAACAGCCCCGTGGATTTGTAGGAATACACTGCGATGACATCCATGCCATGACAGCCCTCATGTTTCCTTTCCTCAAATTTAATACCTATTAATGTGATATGGGTCTCTCTCTTCGCCTCTACAAAAACCCTTGTGTTCGCATCATTGACCTTAGATAGTATTTACATAAAGGGAAGCAGTGTATCATCCATAGTATTTCTCGCCTTCAGTTTTCTTTAATATTGTTATCATATATTGTTATATTGTTTCCATCTCTTGTAAAAACCACTTCCTATATACACAAATTATTTTATCCGTGTCACAGATTTATTTATAATTCTTATATTATTTTGTTACTTAATATTACTGACGGGTTCATATTTCAATTGTTTGTATGTATTTTTGAGCGCGCTGCGAGCATTTCTTGGTCTCTATGCGGCATAGACTATGCTTGACTAAAACTCAAATATTTGTGGCAAAAACCCATTAGTTATGTATAGTGAAAATCCAATACGTTTTGTTCTTGTATTCATACTAATATTATAAATGCGAAAGTTTGTAAAAATGCTTGAATGTTTATAACTTAATCACGTTTAAAATGCTAAACGGGATCGAATGAAACTTTGGTACACAGGTAGGTTATATCGTAACTTAACACATAGTACACTTTATATACATGAAACTAGAATTGCGTGAAATAGCTAGTAGTTAGATAATGCTGTTTCTTTCTAACACTGTCACTTTTTTTATTATTTTTTGAAGCTTTTTATCTAAGATATTCTATCACCTAGTATTATTCGTACCATATGCTGTAGTTCAATAACGGATAGGTATTAATTTGATTTCAGCTTACTTTTGCCAGTTAACAAATATTGCCTGGATATAGAGGAATGCTTCGAATTAAAAGGATGGGCATGGAATAATACATGTGTGTTTGACTGTCCTCTCGGTTATGTTGTTTCGAACATTTCTAATATTATAAGCTGCAAACCCTGCCCTAACTGTCACAAGGTAATGTTTAATATTACTAGGTACTTGTTTGGTGGTAATATAGTTAAGATCTTATGCAAATAAGTTAATCGAAAATTATCTAAATTATATATATATATATATATATATATATATATATATATATATATATATATATATATATATATATATATATATATATATATAATATAAATATGATTTAAAATGAATATATATAATGATATATGTTGATTTCTGTTTATGTATTTCAGACTTGTGACAGTTTAATGATACAAACAACAAGTGCCATACAGGCCGCCCAAAGATGCGTTTACATTAATGGATCGTTGACTATACACATCAGAGCGATCCCAGAAGCAATGGACGAACTAAGAGCATACCTCGGACAGATTGAAGAAGTTTCGGACTTTATTTTTATTTATGGCTCGCTCGTTATAACATCTTTAGAGTTTTTATCATCCCTACGCTATATAGGCGGTAGAAATTTAAAAGACAATAAATATAGTCTCGTTGTTGACAGCATGATTAATCTACAATCATTATTTACTACGAACGTCACAAATAACCTTAAAATTGGCCGCGGTGCACTGAATTTCTCTCGTAATCCAGTCCTGTGTATCAATCATATAGAACAATTAAACCGTTTGTTTCCACTGAAGCTCGACAATTCCGATGTGTTACAAAACAACGGTTATAGTGGCGGTTGTAAGTACGCGTCCGTGGGCCTCCAGATACGAGTCATGAATGAAACCTCAGCTTTGGTGATGTTTACTCCGATGGAGGAACCGGACGTACATTATACTATATTATACATTCGATTACCTATTGGATCTCATAAGATGTTCGTGCCCGAGACTTGTAGCGATTCCGAATGGCACGCTATAAACGTACCGATAGATTTTGGCAAAAATGGTTTAGTGGAACTCTCGTCCTTACGTCCCGCATCCACTTATGCACTATGTATAGAGAGTTACGACACCCCACGCAAATATCTGGCCAGAAGCACTATTTTCAATTTTACGACTCCAGTTGGCAAACCTGAACCACCATTTATTTCAGAGCTGGTCGCAAACTCTTCAACACTTGTGGTTTTACGGTGGGTAGATCATAAAGTGTACCGCCCACATATAACGCGATACGAAGTCGATTTAACTATAATAGATATTAATCCAAAAAATATTAGGATTCGAAATCACTGCAAAGAGGATAATGTCCCTGAAATAGACTTCTTTCGCCACGCTGTAGTAATGCGACCGCCACCCGACTACGATAGAAGCTGCGAGTCGATGTGCGGAGTGCTGTCGACAGTCACCGCGGGTGCGCTGGTCGAGGAGTACATCGATTTTTGTAGCGATACAGATTCCAACTGCAATATCGACGAAGAGGAGGCTCCCGGGAATACAACAATAGGAAGGTTCGTTCGCACCATGTCCCTAAATATAAGCGCCTCTCGAAAAGACTTTCAGATAGGCGGTCTCGCACCGTACAGAGATTACAGGTTTCGGCTACGCGCCTGTGTCGAGGACGTCTGCAGTCGATCCGCTCGAAGCGTAGTGAGAACTCTGTATTCAGACTACGCGGACATACCCACAATAACGGACGTCAGCGCGAACGACGACGGGGAAATTTCCGTGAAATGGAAACCGCCCGATTTCGTGAACGGAATCGTTTTGTCCTATTCTGTCCAAGTGCTGATTCCGAGAGTCGCGGAGAGCGAGGAGATAGAATTCTCGCCGAACGTGTGGTGCGTGGCGGCCGACAAGCTGAGCGTAGTGGTGAAGTACATAGCGAGGAGGAAGTACTACGTGCGCGTGTGCGCGGCGAGCCTGGCGCAGAGCGGCGCGTGCGGCGAGTGGGCCGCCGTGCGCGCGCCCGCGCCCGCGACCTCCCGGCACAGCGGGCACGTGCCGGCCGCCGCCGCCGCCGCCGCCGCCGCCGCCGCCGCCGCCGCGCTGCTGTTCGCCGCGTCCGCCGCCGCCGGCGTCTGCTGCGCCCGGACCAGGCCTCCGCACGACGACCGCGTACCGCTCGTGGATATTACCTCTATGTATAGGATACCCGGGGAACCGGCCGACTTGATGCTGTCGGACTTGGTGTCCCTCTCTCTAGTAACGGAACAGAACAATTATACAGAGTAGCATTTTAACTTCGTAATAAAACATGTTTTATAATGATGTATGAGCGTTTCAGTAACAAATAGTACAATTTACAATAACGACCTTTTCTTAAATGTGGAGACAATTGTAAGGAAATTGACAATAATTTATTTATTTAGTACAGTATTTAAAGACGATGACGATGTTGCGAATTTAATAACATGAACGGGAAATGGACACCGACGGGGCTTATTCGGTGGTGCATTCCAGTATACACCTTAAGGCACCGTTGTACCGCCCCGTCTGGGTAATATCCTATAGGTGGAGTACCTACTTAATTTAATATTATAACAACAAATTAGGCGGTTGTTGCCTAGAGGATATGAGTCTGGCAAGGAATCATCTATTTTGTGAGGCTCGGAAAGTTCGTACATTGAGGTTTTTCTCGAGGCAAATTTTAGCAGAAAAATAAAGAACATATCTATATTGCCATGGCATTACGAGAAAATAGTTAAACGAATATCACTTAATATTATAGAATAAAAAACAATTCTTTAAGACATGTACATTTTGACCTTTCTGTTGCTTGAAATCGTGTAAATTGTGGACGATTTTATGGTTATGTTGGGAAGGCCAATTGAGTTAGGAATAAGTAATGATATGAGTATTACTATCGAAAAATACCTAAAGTATTCTAAGTATAATAGAGTTGTTCTTATTATTTACAAAAAGTGAACGTCATTTCTCTATTTGAGCCGGTCATGAGACTTGGCTTGGCATAAAATGGCAATTAAATTCTTGCATAACAACTAAGTAATTACGGAACAGTGAAAATTCTCCATCGTAACCATTTATGAATTTCAGTTACCGAAGTGGACCAAAGGAAAATGTTGTTTAGAAATGATAGCTTTCAATTCGTATCAAATAGGACATCATCAAAAGCCGTAATAATATTTACTTGCTTATTTAAGTTCCAGGAACAACAAGTGCCTACTTACAAAACCTAACAAAACGAAGGGAGTATTAATTAATTAGATTCGCAACAAACCGCGGATAAAAAATGTTCTAGAAGAGTTGCAATTAAACCTTTAGTAGTATAGATTGGAGTATTTACATATTTATGCGTGAATCTTGTATTTAAGCGACGGCAAAATAAACTCGAATCTAAGTTGTTTATTATGTGTATAAGCTACATTATGTTTTACTCGTTAAAATGATTCAATAACCTATATACAAAATAAATACTATTGTTAACCTCTTTATATCAAACAGTAACAGCCCACTGCTGAACATACGAGTAAACCATGGTACTGCTCATGTCTATAGGCGACGGTTACCACTTTACATCAGGTGGGCCGTCAGCTTGTTTGCCATTCTAATTTGTATAAAAAAAAAAACCTCAGCCTTGTTGGTTGGTTTTGCCAGTAGTTGCCACGCTTAGCAGGCGGGTTGGTAACCGCAGGTAACCTTTCGTGATGTTTAAAGAGGGACGATGCTGATCATTTCTCGACCATTAAATATTCTTAGTCACCTCTTACAACACCCATGGGTATCACACCACACGGTGAATTATTATCATCAGATTTTTTATTTGTGATTGCATGATTACGTTTTTTCACGTCCATTTTAAACGGTTTTCATCGATTTTCTTTGAAATGGATAGATTTTACTCAATTGTTGATCTGGTATTAATTCTGTGTTTTTTTTTTTCGCGGAGCAAAAAACTTATTTGTAATGAAGCAAATTCTATTTGCATATTCTACGGTGTACATTCAAATACTTATTTTCAATTTATGAAGTCACAAAAATTCCATCGTTTATACACAGGTATTGAATAAACGAAATAAAAACAGCGACTTCAATAGCAGATTTATTAGTTGTGGAGCAACAGAGGTCATTTCTAGTTTAGTTCTGTCAATTAATTGACAATTAAATTCAATTTCAGTAAAGACAATCATTCAAGTGTCTAATTATTATAAGTTTTTATATTCAGGTTTTATAATTTATTACTTTTTTTTTTTTATAAAATAAACACAAATTTCATCGTTGCGGTTTGTGTGGCAGCATAGAGCAGTCTGTAACACAGGACATGTGTTTGCTATTTATATGTATGTAACTAATTTTACATTTTATCTTGTTATTGTATGGGGAAGAAAAGGAGTGTTGACGTATTGTATTCGTATTCCATTAGTTGAGTTAATATCCTAATTCACGCAAGCAAAGTTTATTTATTTATATATATATTTATACATTCACTTACAGTATAGATATTAGGTTATAACAAAAATGTATACAGGTAGACTTATCCTTTAAAGCAATTTCTTCTAGTCAACCTTGGGAATCCAAAAGGAGAAAGTGTCAAAAACTACTCGTATATGGTAAGTAAAAATGTCAGTAAAAACATTAACAAATATATATAGTGGAAAATAATACTGATAAGTAATATATATATATATATATATATATATATATATATATATATATATATATACATATATATATATACAATATATATATATATATATATATATATATATATATATATATATATATATATATATATGTATGTATATCTATATATATATATAATATATATATATATATAAACTTAGAATAACTACTATACACATATAAGTAACTCAACTGTCAATTGTATATTATTTTTTTTGTTTGTTTTGAAGACATGGATGGTCTACGGCATTATGGTATAATAATTAGGCGGAGGGGTTGGGGGGGGGGGGGGGGGATCCAGAATCTAGCAGCTTGCACTGTAAAGGGTTTGGTGTAGGAGTAGGAGTTGTAGATAGGTAATTCTAATGTATGATGTTTTAGACAATGCACATGGGGATCGGGTATTCTAAAAGAAAATCTCTCGCGGAGGTAATCTGGGGCCGAAGGGTCAAACAATATCTTTATGTGACCCAAAGTTGTAGTATAAAGGTAGTAATATATTTATTTATGATACTTAGAATGGTAAACAAGCTAACGACCCGTTTGATGGAAACTGATAAACGTCACTTTTTTTTAAATAGATGATAATGGAATGGTGACCCCACCTGCGCTATCGGTATACATCGGCGGGGCACCAGTGAAGAATGATAGGTGAGGATGAAGTAGGTCAGTTAGCCCATCGTGATGAATTCAACAAGAATTGTTCACGATGGTTTCCACGTGGAAGTCGACCTAATAAGGTATATTGCTAGCAATGGGGTTGTCAAACTCCATTGCTAACAATCCTTTTCCCCCGATAAACGTCACTTATAGACACGAACATACACTGTGGTGTCTGTTGTACACATCACGCACTGCCATTTTTGAGGACTATGGTCTTAAGTCTCTGTAACTTGGTATTCCAATTTCATATTAATTTTTTGAAACTAATACGAGTAGTACACAGCCTCGCAAATGAGAGACAGGCGTGACAGATATGTGTGTATGTAAAACGTAGCGTGTAAGATTAACGAATGATTGCCTCATCCCAGAAATACGTAGTAAGAAGTAAGAGCTACTTAAGTAAAGCGCGTTTGTACAAAGTTCAATAACAATATATAATAGTACAGAGAGAGTTGTGAGCAGAACTTGTAAAATTACTTTAGGCGTACGATGCTGTTACATAGCAACATACTTCTTGTTTTCATTCTATGACAATCCTACCAAGATAGGACCCCTACTCCCACTAATGTTTGGGCATTTCACGATATCATTAAGATATTTAATTTACGTATGGCAATAACTATATCCGTATGGGAGGAAAGGGATTGTTAGTAATGGAGACTGAGAATCCCATTGCTAGCAATATACCCAACCAGGTCGACCTCCTCGCGGTTCCCCCTGGAAACTATCATGGTTAATTCCTGATGAATTCATCATGATGGGCTAACTGGCCTGTTTTCATTCTCATCTATCACCCTTCACTGGTGCTCCGACAGTGTATCCCGTTAGCGCAGGCGGGGCTACCATACCATTTTCACCCATAAAAAAAAAAAAAACTATATCCGTATATCTCGTTGTGTGGTTCCAGCATAAAATGGGCCATCTCTTTCTTTTCCGTGGATGTCGTAAGAGGCGACTAAGGGAATTTAATGATCGAGGGATGGGCAGAGGAGTGGCAACTACTGGACCTCCCATAATTCAGCTATTCGATAGATTATTTAACTGATATATTGCATATGTATATAAGTAAGTAGTTAGCGTTGTAGACGTAATCAACAATAGCATATCCCCAGTTCTACCAACTTGTCCGCCGCTAGTAGCAGTACCCATGTTTACGTGCAATAAACACTTTTATACCTTATATATTACCTTTGTATATGACCCTTGTACTGTAGTCCTTAACTACGAGTGAGTTCCTGTCGTGACTACGACGCAGTGCAATCCGCGACGTAACGTCGGCAATGAAAATGTATATAAATTAAGATTTTGCTCTGCAATGAGGACATATTCTTCGAAGAAAAAACGACTTAATCCTAAAAAAATATCATAAACTGACCAGTTTTTTTGTAGACACATTGAAAATATTTGTATTTCGAACGTCAACGTGTTCACAAGTAAATTTTACTCAGTAACAAGCAGTTTTTTCCCACAAAGAAAATCAGCGGCTTCGATCTTCACAAAACATGTGATACGCTACGTCTGTGTCTCCTAAAGATAAATAATTACAAATCTCTTCACTTTTTATGTTCTTAAAAATTGTAAAGTATTAGTGTAGAACTAATTTTAATTCAGCATGAAGTCAGATTCTTGTCTAAAATCGCTTTGCTTAAAATAGGTTTTATGAGTAGAAAGTGAACTTAAAAGTGTTATATAGACCGTAATGACTTACATTAATATAGACTGCAGCTTGCTTGCAATTTAAATAAATTATTAATTACTAGTTGCATCCCTTGGTTTGGCTTAAATTACGTTGAAAGTAGTCTGCGTGTTAACTAGGTTAACATGCAGACCTATTCTAAATAATATGTCTATGTACGTAAAAAATATTATTCTTTGAAGTTTAAAAATAAACATAAATAAAGAAACAAATACGAAAATATCTTTAAAAACTTACAAATTCATAATATTAATAGCGAATATAATTTTC